TTAATTGGCATTTCTTCACATCCAAAAACACCCATTTCTATATCAGACAGATTTCCACTTGCACTGTTCCAATTTTACTGTAACTTTATGTTAAAAGTTTTTTGTTTTCCATTTACAAAAGTTTCTGTTTTATTCATTCCATTTTAAATTTTAGGTTTTACTGTACCATAAATTATGAAGGAAATTTAATTTTTTTAAAAAGTTACTTACAATCTGTAATTGGTCAGGAAAATGACTTTCCAGGTCTTTTTTAAAAGCCCTGTACTAAAAAATAAATTAGGAAATAAAATTAACTTGTCACATTTTAATGTGTGATATACCGTATTTCAATAATTTAAAATTCCTATAAATTTTAAGATTATAATTAAGAATGATGAAAAATAATAATAATAATAATAATAAATTTGATTGCCTTAAAATTTACAGCAAAATTTTATAAGAAAATATTTAATATTTACCTTGCCATCATATCCTCATGCACCACTATAATAATAAAAGAAAAATAATTAACTTTAAATGATTATATTCATGAAAAAATAATCTTTATAAAAATATATCTCAGATAATCATAATAATTTTAACTTTTATTATCATTTACTATAGATGAACTAGCCAAAACTTTTCCTGCTAAAACCCAGTAATTTTCAATTATTGATCAAGTAGTAATCAATTATTTCCTTGGAGCTTAACCTTGAATACAAATGTATTGCACGTGTACATAAATATATTACATGTGCTAATTTCCAAGACAATTTTTAACTTGCCATGTTCATGACTGTCACATATTATTTATGTAATAAAAAGCATTTAAATACATTTAAAAAATATCAAATTTATTACATTTTCACTAATCTATATTTTCTGTAAACTTGTATTTTTTTTTCTACAGATAAATAAAAGTGTAGTCCATAGCATGGTATCTATTTTACACCAATTATAAGTAATGCTATCTATGCAAGATATTTCTATCCCATATAACAAATAATTCTCTACTAAAAATTAAAACAGCAGCAAAACACACAAAAACATTAAATAAAGCAAAGAATACCACATGGATGAAATGAAAAAACAGTACATAAAAATGTTAAAATGCATAATATACAAAAAAGAAGCATAAAAAGCAGTGTAGAAAAACCATTACAAACAGTTGACCACCAGATGAAAAAGAAAACAGGTACACTGATCTCAAATACTAGACTACATGAATACCACAACCATAAAGAAGACTAAAATTCAATACTTGCTCGAATTTCTTTTTATTGAGCACTAGCTTACCCGTCGCGCATTGCTGCGATCTCAGAAGAAACGAAATGCAAGCAAACTCGTAATGATAAAATTAAATTTTCATTTTATCATTTTTATTGAAACTTATTATTATTATTCATTTTCATCGGGAAAATATTTCAAAGTGTTGTTTCAATTCTATTTATTTATTGGAGTGCTCGTGGATACACGATATTTTTTGTTTTTCCGTCTGGTGCGTACACGAATAAATCAGAAGGTTTTCCGACGCGTGAGCCGGCCACGTANAGTGAATGATTTGCAGAGGGTCATCATCCCTTCTGTTACAAAGATTAGATAAAAAGTTATTCATACCGAAACATGTTTATATTTTTTTTCATTTTGATTAAGTTTGAATTGATTTCTCCCGAGTTACAGATTACTTATTGATAAATTTTTATCATTTCTTTTAGTATTTTTAACATTTCATTTTTCTTTTTTTATATTTCCTGTAATGTAACACATTAGTTTATATTCGAAACATTTTTTTCATACTTAATTAAAATGCAATAAATTTATCTATAAAAGAAAAATGAATTGGATTGGTTAATGAAATAAGGCAATATAACCAGGCCCTTCGAATGCTTATATAGGGCCTGGGATAGAGCTTTATTCGTCTTTAAAACGTAAATGACCTAAAGCTACTATTACAAGTGACTACTTAATGACGAATGCTTATCTTTCCTCGAGATTATTTTCTTAAAAATCATTTAATTAAAAAGAATTACACAGCAAAATTTTTGAAATTGTAGGAATTTACTATTTCCTTTAGGCGATAGACAATTCCTTTATAATTAAAATTATAAGAGCTTAAAATATTTAATTTTTAGAAAATAAATTTTTTGATATAATAAATAAAATATATTTAATATACACTTCTTATATACCACCTCTTTAATACACACTTATTTTTAATAAATTTTTTATCAAAATGTTATATTATATAAGTCAGTGGTGTGTTATCCTATGGACAAAAAGGCCAATTGGTTTGCGCCCTCCAATCTTTCATAAGAAAATATTTTCCCAACAAAGTATTCAAAGTCAACACTATACATGGAGCCCCATAATTCAAATTGGCCTAGGCCCTATAACTATAACGTTCCACTAATATAAGTAATGATATAGCCTAATTCATAGCCCATAAGTTATACATATTTTAGATGACAGTTCTAGGAAAGTATATAATTCTGTAATGTAATAATATAAATAACTTTTATTTTCAAAAATGTTATATCTTTTTAAAGTATAACAAAAATAATTATATAGGCCTATATATTTTTATTATATATAATATAATGTCATCATTAACTTCCTGGCATATAAAGTATATTGTAAAATATTTGCGTTGCGAAGAAAAATAGTATCCATAGAATAATCTTATATAAATAAATATTAAGATAAGATCACATAGATACTTAAATATTAAAGATGAATAAATTTCAATTTATTTGAATAAAGGAGTTTGCAAAAAATATTTCTATCATCATCAAATAACTAATTATTTAATGTAGTACTAACGACCATGGGTCATCCCAAATTCAGGGAAAATTTGAGCAAAATAAGAATAACAATTTGTCCAGTCAGAGAAAATAAAAAGGTTAATGAATTATCAGTGGTGGAAAATTAAAATCTGATACTTATATTTGTAAAAAATTTTGGGAAAGTCAATTTTCTTTGCCCCCATGGCCCACTAGAGTGACTAAAACCACTAAACACTTGCTTGTCGCAGGTTCATATCTCACTAACGAGTTGGCCGTGTAATATTCCGATTTTGTGTCTAACATCCACAAATAGGTAGTGTTTCTCATAGAAAGTCCTACTGGAAAGATCCTCCTTGATAGATCGTTGCCTTATCCCATCACTCCATCCGTCTTCTTGAAGTTATTGAGGCAGCCTATTTCTTTCAAACATCACTACATTCTAAAACACTTCCAAAACCAATAAGTAGGTTCCAATACAATGTTTGTCATATTAATCAGGTTTGTGACTGTTTTTCCGATCACACTGAACAAACTAACAACTGACAGTATACACATAACAGTCTCTCTGCCTCATACATTGACATGTAGTAACATGAAGTCTGCTTGGACCTTGTTTATTAATTGGGCTTATTATACTGGTGTAGTTTCTGATTAGCAAAGAGAGATCTTAGTCCAGGGTTGTCCAACCTTTTCTCCTAATGGGCAAAATTAGAAATTTAGGTTTATTCAGCAGGCCACAAAGGTACTTTATATAAAAATATGCTTTTAAAAAGTTCAAAATGTAAATATCAAATTCTAATAACAAATATATAATATTACAAAAAATATTGTATTGCTGACAGTAAAAAAATTACACTCACAAAATACAAATAAATTCAATGCAATTTTTGACATTGCCTTTCTTTTATAATGTTGTCACTATCTGCTTTTATGGTACTTAATTCTAAAAATGTTAGTTAAATGGGAATCATTCAACCTATTTCTTTCAGCAGTTTTGATGTTTTTCATGCATGAAAAGAATTGTTCACAACAGTACATACTATTCCACAATCATAACAGTTTTGTAGATGTAATTGGTGTTAGAAAACTGTTTTGTCATTATAGCATCAAAGTGTTTGTTTGTTTAGTAGCAAGTTGGATACAAGCTTCTCTAGCTATTTCACCCCATGGAATGTGTGGTGTATGTTCATTGGATAATATTAGTAGTTGGATACATTTATTATGATAGCCAGAATGCACAGGAATAATGCCTTCCAGAAGATCTTTTAAGGGTAAATGGCCTGTATTCAGGCATTACAGACATGGATAAAACTCGGAGAACTCCACATAGCCAACCTGTTCGAGCAAGGCGTGAACCCATAACTGAATTTTCAGTGTTCAGGGAATGGAACAGCTTAGCCACTGGTGGGCCATGTCAAAGTGTATCCAGTGAAACAAGAATAAGTTTTACAACATACTTTACCAAAATAAATGAAAATACACCTAAAAATTTAGGGTGCAGTGGGCTGCATAAAAATACTAAGTGGGCCATGGGTTGGACATTCCTGTCTTAATCAAAATTCAAAACAAAAACAGGTGAAAATAATGATATTTTGTTTTGATTTTTTACTATTATCTCCTCTCTTTGCTAATCAGAAACTTCACTAGTATAATAAGTCTGATTAATAAACAAGGTCTGAGTAGACAATATATACACAGAAATGTAAAATAGTAAGGATAAAGAGGCAAAAAGAATTAATATTAAATGTGTTTTGTATGGAATATGAATCTAATTCACTAAAGGTTTATAGGATAGATATATAAATATACACACAGGTATGGGCTACTTAACAACACACCATATGTGATGGAGATGCCATAAAACTGTAATGGAACTAAAAACTTCTTAGCCACCTGTATCTTTCCTATGTTTAGATACATAAGTATTTATCATTGTGTTACAATTATATTATAATATATCCTAAATTAGTAGACTATGCCATATAGGTTTGTCTAAGTATACACTATAATGCTTGCTTAATGATGTATTTCTTTGAATGTATTCCTGTTAAGTAACATAAATAAACCTTACATATATCAGTGGTTCTAAAAATATAGTCTGCAGGTAACTGTACATTTTTTCCAAAATTCAATATGTAATTGTTTATCCAGAGAAAATAACATTCTCAAGCATTGCGTATCTCTTTCATTAGGTTACAGGATTGACAAAATATTATAGCACACATTTATGATGATATTTACAAAATAAAGAAGTGAATGGATCTGTGGTTCATTAATGGCAATTTTATTGATAAATTACAGATAATTTAATTTCTTAATTATTTCATTTGGAAAAATTAATATGGACAATTTGATTTTTCATGATCACAGATAAAATTCACCAACAGAACTCCTGAAGACTTCCACCAAATCCCCCTTTTGCCATTTTAGTTTTGAGGATTTGGTTTCATAAGGCATTTGTATTGTTTAGCAAAATTCAACTGGAAAAACAGCATTTAATGTATTTTAAATATAAATCAAAGAATTTTTGATTTCTTTAATTCTTAAATTTACTATTTTTTCTTACCTATGAAGCATGAAAATCGTTTTTAATTTCAGCAAATAATGCATTAAGTTATCTGCCTTCAAGTGCTTTCTCTATTCCCATTATAATCTTATTTAACTTAACTTCACTGTCAACAAAACCATCTCCATTCTAAAAGATTAATAAAAATTTGTACATTTTATTTTATTAATAGAAACTAAATGCACTATTTGATATTTATACCTTTTTAGAATGAAGTAAAGTTCCATCCTCAAGCTCCACTTCAAAAAAACCTGTTACAGTTGGTGTTGCTTTATAGGTCTGCAAAATATTTCAAATTTTACCAAAATAAAAGTTTGAATATTTAACATATCTATCAGATCATATCATCATCATATGTAAATTTTATTTTGAATTCACTGATTTAGATATTAAATACTGATGCATTAACATACATATTAATTCAAAATCACTTTAACCTAAAAAAAAATTCTTAACACTAACTAGATATAAATTTAATAATTCAAAAATTTTTAACTCATTTTATACTTTAGATACTAAGAATTTTTTCCTTCATCTCCTATGTTCCTTTTTAATTGTAAAAACACTATTAGATACATAAAAGTTTTTATTACCAGGCTTAATCCAAGTTAATCCATAGTTATTAAAGATGGGAGTATTCAAATGTAAGAATTTAGAACTACAGTTGACCCCCCTATAATTACGGTCCCTATAATTACGATTCCTATAAAACTACGAAAAAATATACGTATTTTGGAAATGTTGAGTCGGATTAGTGTAGAATCGATTAATTTTATGGAAGAAAACCTTTCAATCAGCCGTAGTCCGTAAACTTGACACGTGTCGGGCTGTGATTGGAACGACTTGTAAGAAATCGGATTCCTAATAAATTGGAACGTATCTATATCTTATAGGGGGGTCGACTGTA